CTGAAAGGATAATTAATATACCGAATAAGCTTTAAATAATGTAGTGATTTTAGCATAAGACCAATCCTGACGACAATTCTGATACATCTTATAAATTTTAGACGAATAAAATGTGATGTTGATTTTACAAAAAAAATCCCATAAAATAAACTGAATAAAGAACTTACACTTTTTACGAAATAATAAATCGAGCTGCGTCAATTTATGCCGGCAACTTTTAATATCCTGAAAAGAATTCAAAATATCCTATTCCTTTTCTTCCTGCTCATTTTCCAGTATTTGTAGATGGTCTTCATTCTTTTGAGCCTCAATTCTCTCAGATGTTATTTTTGCATTCTTTATCGCATTTGTATTGGAAATACACAACATTCTTGAATCTTTCGGTTTTTTGACATTTTTCCGTTTTACATTTCTATTTTACAATGCCTGGAATTTCTGATTTATAATTATAATACTGCAAGAATTTGACTTTTCCATCAATGTGAATATATACATCTATACATATGGTATTAATACAAACCTATTGCGTTTATACCATTAGCTGGAACCTGGAACTTTAACAATAATTTGGAATCTGAAAGGTTGTCAGGATTCAAATTATGTTCGGCTAAAAATCTAGAATAATGTTAATGTTATTAAATCTAATACACATAAATCTTACTAAAATTTAAGCAAATTCGACATTCTAGTACTTCATTAGATTGACTGGATGTTTTGACAATTCCAAAATGAGTTTACGACTTTTTTAGAAATATTCACCTACAGAATGTTTATTCATACTCATATCATATCTTTATTAATTATCCATATCTTTATTGAATGAGATGTTTGTTTACGACCAGATATTAACATCCGTCACTGTCCAATTTAGCTCTTCGTATATGTCCGCACACATCCCATCCATACGTCTGTACACGTCATGTCTGTACGTCCGTACACGTTACGTCCTACAATGATCGAATGTACACACGCTAAAAATAAAATTTGAGCAAAAGTATGCTTAAAATTAGAAAATCATTGCATCATTACTATATCTTAAGTGCAAGCAAAGCAATATCGGATCGAGCGAGCTGTCTTCAATGCAATCTTTTCAATGTAGCTGTCTTCAGTCGGTTCTTTTCATGTAATATTTGCTACCTGAAAGAAGTATTAATGGATTCATTTTCCGACCACTAATTAGAGCTCTAACTAGTGTCAATTTCATTAGACTAACACTCAGTCACCTCCATATTTTCCGTAACCTTAAAACACAATTCAGTCTAATCTCATATTTGAAGCGTGATAAGCTATTCACTATTAGATACTTTACACATCCGTGTAACTTTTCACGTCTACTTAAACAGTTTTCGTATCATTTTATTAAGAACAGAAATTCGAAACTTTTTTTTAAAATTACTAACAGGAGAGGTCATGATGTCACATGATCTTCCCATTACAATGTCACGCATCATAATCACAATCAGGTCATATGCAACATGCAAGCTATTTCTTTTGTATTCGTGTGAATGCATTCCTCCTACACCAACATGTCTACAAGCATTTTCCAAATTTTGCATTTCATAATACAACTTTGTCATGGGACGAAAATATTTCGAAGATATCCCAAACTGAAATTTATGCACCGTAGATGGTCCGTTAATTTTGTTGGTGGGACTTTTCGGCGGATTTTCGACGTAAAGAAATGTGTGGAGGTGTCAACTGTCTATTAAACTTAATTTTAAAATAGTTGCAAATTTCTGATGGGATCTTTTACCCGTTAATAAGATACTATGAGAGAACTAAGGAGTTTTTGAAAGTTCATATTTATCTTCATCTATATTTAACCTCATTTTCATACAAGACACCAAGATTTCATCATTTAGTTTAAGGAACAGTTTCGATGCAAGACGCTAGTGAGAAGTTGCGATTATTGTTACCCAATGAGATTTTGACTGTGTTTATCGAGAAACTCGCATTTAAACAGTTCACATCAGTTCAGGTATTGATTTCAGTTTTTGCGTTTTGAACGAGTATTTCTTTCGGTACATTCCAATAATATAGTAACACTTCTGGGTATGTGGTAACTTGGAATGATATCGGAAATATGATGATGTGAGATATCCAATTGAGCTATCAATGATGCTAACTGTTTCTTATGCAAATTTACGACTCAGGTTTAGTTCATTAAATTCAGTGGGTTAGTTCTATGAAATTGGTGAAACCATAAGATTATTCCTTATGGGTTATTCCCTAGTTTGATTCAGATATCAGTGTTTCGAACTATTCGCAGCAGATTTTACTTTGTGTTATTAAAGGAAGTCAATAGGTACGGATTGTAGTGGTATAGTTTCACTCAAAATTTATGGAAATTTTACTTAGTGATTTTTTCATTTCGAGAAGTTCGCTTAAAAATTCGATGAGAAATACACTCTAAGAAATGCAAGTTGGTAAAGTGTACGCTCTAGTTTTCTATCCCATTAAGAAAAAGAATATCAACGATAACTTATCTAATAGTATAGTTTAAATGGGATGTTTGATTACAATCCAGCAATCCTAAGCCCTGTTTAGAATCGTTGCTTAATGAAGCTTTGTCTAGTTACGACCCATCAATTAACGTGTTCCACTGAATAATCATCGTAATGTCCCACGTGTTAAAACTCCGTATCATTCAAGTGCCGTCAACTGAATATTATTGGAATTTGCTAGTTTTTTTCCGAGATTAAAATCCATCAAAAAAGGAAGGGTTTGTCGTTTTCGCAAAGCGGGTTTGGCTTAGGTGTACGTTTTTATTGGCATATTTTAATTATGCATAGTGTTATTGTGCGAATTTCGATCTTTCTGCAGTTCGTGCTTCCATCCACTCTTTTTATTTTTACTGGTGTTTTTTTGTGTTAAGTTGTTTGTTTCTGATGGATTAGACATTCTGGTTACCAAACAATGTATACTGCTTTACTTCAACTTTTGGACATTTAGCAATATTGAATGCTTTCATTCATTTAAGCTCTTGCTTTAAACAACAAATCCGATTTCTGATCTCCTGAGTTAAATGAGGATAGATCTGTCCTTCAGTGATTATTCGGTGCTTGAGTATCAAAGGATGCGTAAACACACTGATTATCGATGGGGTGATTATTATTTGTCGGGCGGACGTAAAGGCAAAAAGTCATGGGTTTTGGAATTAATTCATACGACCAATCAAATGATACCAACTTTCAATGAACTATTTGATGAGGTGAGCTGTAAGTGTATGTTATGTATGGTGTGTGTGTGTGTGTGTGTGTGTGTGTGCGTGTGTGTGTGTGTATGTATGTATGTATGCATTGTAGCACTGTATTGTATTATACTGAAAGACTTTCAAATTGAATTTCTTTCTTAAAACATTGTTAGCAGCATAAGATAATATTGAAAATATTGAACGAGCATTCAACATTTATTTTTTAATTGATCTATTTTATACTTTATTGCATTTATAGTTTTGAAATATCGAGTGGAAGAGTCCCTGACGTTTTTGCAATTTTGTTTTATGACCAACTATGTTTCATAGGAGATGCTTCTGTTTTTGATTAAAATCCATAATATATACAATTGAGAACTTTGCTACCATTTGAGCAATTTGATTGTATCGTTTTGGGAAAATATTGACATTTAATGTTGACATATTGACATTTAATTGATCATCGTTCAGGAGACATTCTATGTGTTTGCATTCATCGTTGTCATATCATCCTTCTTGATTGCTTTCTTTCTGGCTAAAGTGGTTGGTATACGAATTCGCGAATATCCACTAAATGTAAACCGTGAATGGCGTGATGCACGGCCAGCAAATCCTTTTCGTTTTCCATGGAGTCGAAGCAACTGTTGATATCCTTTCTGCTTTCAAAATTTGAGATCTTTATATATTTAGAAGAAAAGAAGCACGTTATCTTATAGATTTAATCTGCAGTGAGCTACGTCCAGCCTATAAATTTCAAATAGTAACTGTTTGGGATGTTACAAGCACACATATAAGTTCCAATGAATTATCGGACCTTGAATATAGAAGGCCAAATATTTTTCCAGATTATGAGAATTTATGATCTGTTGTTGTATACTGGAATATTTTGACCATAGATTGTTTGTTCTGAATAATTTTTTTCAGTAGCTCTGTTTGCTGGCTTAGGTCTGCTTTGCACCTGTTTTCTTCGAGAATCCTTTAACTGGATGGATTGACCTAATTTGTTTTTTCTCTTTGTTGATTATGAACTTCAAACCTTATTTCAACGTTTGAATGTTTTTTTTGTAAACTGATGAAATTGTTACAGCCAATAGAAATTGCTTACTGAAATAGAAAAAAATATTTTGGTTTTATTTGTAAACAATAATTTAGTGCGAAATGGTTTTCAAAAGAATTATGCGAGATTGGATAAAGTAAGATGTGTTGGATCTTGTCCTTGCTTTTTCAATATTTCCATAACTTCGTCTAGATTTATCAAAAGAAAAAAAGTGAAGGAATAGGTTCTGTGAAAGGAGGTAGTTTTTTTATGACATTTTTGAATCAGGTGGTTGGGATTTAAGCATTGCCACAAGCGTATACCAATAGCTATTTTCTCCAGTAGTACTCGCGCCTTCAGAACGATCACATATTTACTTTTATTCCTTATTGTCCTTTTTTTTTAATGAATAATCCGAAAAAGTCAAACAATCCTTTGAAATTGGTGGATTCCAAACATCGAATTGATGCTTTTCTAATTAGTGTAAATCATAATAAACATATGGTTGAATATGCTAAAGAAAGCTAATCCACTCAGTCTTTTCTAGTTCACGAACAAATTAAACTTGCTGATCAAAGTCAGGCATGGAATTGCAACTGCTATTTGTACTATAGTACTGCAGAGTTTTTTTTTTTTATTACGGATTACGCTTCTAACAAGTAGAGAGGATTATGGAAGGTATGTCAGATAAAAATGGCAGTTTTAAGACAACGTATGTTCACGATGAATCTAAGAGGTTCTTTAAAATATATTGGTGTGTGAGCTGTATATTTTTCAGCAACAAGCAATAGAGCGTTTGTTGAAGTTTCAAGATGTTATTGTACAAGCACCAACTGGTTCCGGAAAAACTCTCGCATATATTTTACCACTGTTCACTATTTTATGGACAAAGAAAAAGGTATGGTTTTTTGCAATATGGTCGGCTAGTATTATAAAATATCGCTGATAAATCAGTTGATACCGGGAAGTTTTTGTGGAATCAGACGAATGTTTATACGATGCTAAAGCCAAAAACTTGTTGGGAATTATGTGTTACGTCGAATCATGTTTTCCATGTGATATTAATTGCATTGAAGATTTGGCCAGAAAATGAAATAGGTGCAGTGGTGATTGTTCCAAGCCGCGAATTAGCAAAACAAGTTGGTGCAGTTTGTAAATTGTTTGCGGATGCACTCCCCGTCAGCATGCGTGTGATGATTGGTGGAAAGAAAGGAAAATGCGACTCAAAAATAGTCCAGTCTTTAAAGTTTCTTTTTTTTTTCATCATTCTTCATCTAGCACAACTAAGCATCGATGGTGGTGTTACTTGATATGTATCACTTAGCTATAATCGTTTATAATTTTAAGTTTGAAATTGTAATTTTGTAACTAACTTTCGTAAAAGTAAATGAGTTGCTAGTACTGACAGTGTTTGAGTATTTGATTATGCTTTTATATGCCTGCATGTTTATAGGATACAATGATTATTTATTCAATATAAAAATTTCAATTTTTAGCGCAGCAGTAATAATAGCTACTCCTGGAAGATTACAGTCATTAATATCGTCTAATCTAGATTTCAAAAAAGCTTTAAAAGCCCTTGAAATACTGATCATTGATGAAGCGGATCGATATACCGATTCCAATTTCAAAGCTAGGTAAGCGAAAAATCTGTCTTTTTTACTAACCCAAATGCTTGCTAAAGCTTGTGATATACTTTCAGTTGTAAAATTAATGCAACAGCATACACTGTTGCACTCATTACATTTTAGCATGACAGAAATTTTGGAATCTCTACCTAAACAGAGACGGACTGGTTTATTCTCTGCAACACAAGCCAAAGAAATGGAAGAAATTGTGAAATTTGGATTAAGGTAATTTACTTTCATGACCATTTCCGAATCATCAAGTATACATCCTATGCTTGGATAAGAAGAGGTCGAATTCTTAAATTTTTATAGAAATCCCACACAAATTACAATTACAAATAGTGGTGCAGTACTTGATTCGGTTGATTCGGTGGAAGTGATATCACCAAATACACTGAATAACTTTTATATGGTGCGTTTTCCACTCTTAATCTAGCTCCAAATTGTTTCGGAAATTCAAAAAATACTATATGTAAATTAATTGCTCATTACAAAATATATTCGCAATCACAGAAATAAAAAGAAATCCATTTTTCCCGCTGCTATAAAGCAGACATTTTCAAGTAGTTCGGAATATACTGAAGGGCATTGCCCCGTCTCAGATTCCTACACTTTATCTCACTGTAGTGGGCTACTCATTACTTTTGCTGTAAATTTTCATCTCTCTGTTTCTTTTTTTCTGAAGTTCAATTTTCTTGAACGAAATTTCTGAATGGACCTTCAAATCTACCTTATGTTTGAATTCAACACATTTAGGTAGTAAAAGCTGATCAAAAGTTGTATTTGTTGGTAGAATTTATCCGAAATCATCCCAAATCAAAAATACTAATCTTTTTCTCAACATGTCAGTGTGTTGAATACATGCAGATAGTACTGAAGGGTCTTATTCAAAAAAGACAAATATTTGCTTTGCATGGAAAGAAAAGAAAAAAAGCAGAGAATCAGGCATGGTTTTTTCGCATCTCAGTATTTGATTTACTGCTAATTCCTTTTAATTCAAGTTAACTTACATTTTGTTGATATACACAGCTCACGTTCTATAAAGTTATTATTTCACAGCGTGAAGCATTATTTTATGAGTATGCCCAAAAACTTCTAATTTTTAGGATTTCAAATTGGTTCATTTATTCGAATCTCGACTAATTTAATTTTAATTACAGTTACAAAGTTTCCGAAGAACTGGCAAATCACTGATGCTCTGTACAGATGTACTCTCTCGAGGTATCGATGTTGATAACATCGAGTGGGTCGTACAGTTTGACGTACCAAAGCAAACAAGGTTTTTGTTTCATGCTTTTTTCTTTACTTTGATAAAGTTTATTTCTCACTTAATAGGAAATTAGAATCAATGATCCCTTCAAGCATCTGCGGTGAGTTTTTGGAAATTTCCTTCGTCGCTGGAAATTTTCTTTCATCGATTGTTTTGAATTAGTACTTCATTTAATGTGAAATTAAATGGTGGGTACTAGTATTCATATATATTATAGCGAGAAAGCCGTAAATCGAGCATAATTTCGACGTTATAATTTCGAAATTTTTGCGTAAAATTTCTAATCCAAAGAAGTGCAACATTAATTTTGAAGAATTGCGCTATAATTAAGAAACTTGTTGGTGCTTAATCGAAAGAAATGCGTGAACTAGAAATGACTAATATATAATACATACAAGGAAAAACGCATACAAAGAATGTCAGCAAAAAGCTATGTCGTTTTCTTCAATTCATTTTTAAACTTCAAGATGAGATATTTCGTGTGTTAGTTATGGAGGAATCGTTAAATATCCTTCTACATTATGTTTAGAAAGCTTAACTTACTGGTTAATTGGTGGTCAAAATGCAGGTCTGTAAAATTTCCAGCTGGTTTGTCCATCGTGCTGGTCGAAGTGCAAGGTGTGGTAAAATGGGAAATAATGTATTGTTCCTCACGCCAGAAGAAACGGCTTACATCGAATTTATTGAAAAATACGAAAAAGTTTCGCTGACTGAAATGAAAGGAAATATAGAGGAAAAAGATAATGAAACGGAACAAATAAGACAACAGATTGTTAAAATGGCTTCAAAAGAGCGGTATACATATATATATATATATGTATATATATATATGTTTTTTGTACATATCATTTTATATCTTTAGTAGTGCATTCTTTTTTCTTTTTTGTTTGCGGTTATTTCAAAAAATAATCTAAATTTTACAAGTTTTGTTCGAAAGACTTTTGTTCATTTGATAGAAAAATTGAAAAAGAATTCATTATCTCCACATCTCAATATCCACTATCAGTACATTGCCCACCATCCCATCATCGATAAGTTGTTAGGCCGTATAATGATTCAATAAGGATATAATGCCATTTATATGGCTTGGAAAGTAGCGTATAAAATATAAGCTATCCTGGGAACTTTTACAGCTTGTAAAGCTTCATTATATAGCTAATCAAACTCATTCAGAGAAATCCTAGAGTGTGGTACTAGGGCGTTCATGTCATTCGTCGAATCGTATGTACGTCATGATTGCAATGTAGTGTGTCCATCTAAAGGTAGTTGTTTTTTTTTTGTTTCATTTTATTCATATTTTACAAGATAGCAATTAACCGAATAATAAGATTCAAAAAATTGAATCTTAGATTTTACGGAGATATGTGAAATATCTCTCGATTTTAAATTGCAGATTTGGATGTTGTTGGTTATGGTCATGCTTATGGATTGCTACGTCTTCCGCGTATGAAAGAATTTCATCATAGCGATTTAAGTGACTTTAAACGCTGCGACTTAAATACTTCAGAAATACCTTATAAAAATGCTGAAAAGGAGAAGCGAAGGCAAGAAAAGTTACTGCTTTTGAATACCGAAGATAAACCACTGAAAAAGGTATTCTAGCTAAATTTTCAATAAAGTCTCTTTCTTTCGAATCTTAACGAAGGTTGCATTTTGTCGTTATGTCTGTTCTCATTCCTTACTTTCGATTTCGAAACTCTCTAAACAACACATTTAAAGTCGGAGACCCATTCAAGTTTTTATCACTCTAACTCAGAATCGTAATATATTTGAAACATAGATGTTTGTAAAAGTTAGAGGCGTGAGGACTGATTTCACATTAACCATATTTGCTGGCGTGTCTTACCTTCCTATCTTTCACCGACAATTTGATGGATGGATAAACGTGCTTATGGACTGTTTTACTGTTGTTAGACTCATAAAGTTCTTACAGGCAGGCAGAACTCAGAAAAAGTTAGACGCTAGGCAAGCATCCAAAAATTCAGCGAAAAAGCGACGACATAGCGAAACAAAAGAGAACATGGATGATCTCGGATCAGACTTCGCATTACTCAGGAAATTAAAAAAGGGAAGATTGAAAAAGAAGGAATACGATGAACTAATGGTTGATAGTTCCTATTAGATGTTCCCATGTTAAATTTTATGTTTGGAATTTCATTATGAAAATTTTAATGAGTAAAGTTGTCTCAGCGGTTTCTACTGACGTTTGAAATGCTTTTCATGCTTAACTGTGGTACTAACTGACAAGAAAACAAAGTAAAGCTAGAGGACTCATGAACATAGAACAGATACTAGTTTATTGTGAATATTTGAGATTTTGCTGTAACGCAGTCTGCCAACGGTAGATTTAAGGATTAAGCAACTGAATGACAACATATGACTGCTAAATCATAGTGTATGACGATACAAATTTCGATTTATTCGTTGCAATGTGTGTAAAAATAGTACTACACAGACTGCAGGGACGAGTCCTACAATCTCTACACAAACTTCAGGAACAAGTCTTACAATCTCTGATTGGATTAACGATGAGTCTGTTCGATAGATATGCTTCATTACCACAGTTATAAAAAATTCTATTTTTGCGTAAGAGCATAAGGAAGCTTTTACAATGAAATGTAAAAAATGGCACATCGACGATATTTGTAAGGCGAAAAAAGATGAGTGAAGAGAATCAGTTTTGAAACTTATAAAAACTAAGCTTAAAATAAAGCTCATCAATAATGAATATAAATTGAACAGGAGATGGAAAATGACGGAGTGAAAAGAAAGAAAAAACAGGTTCATATAGCAAGGATATATCATCTCCATGGTAAATCCCGATTTGCTCCATTCCAAAAACTTAAATTTATTTTAAAATCGCCGAGACTCCTTACTTTTCCAGCGAAAGTTTCCGCAAATATTCAAATTTCCAGATAAATTGTTGCCTTATTCATCACCATAATTAATAGAAAATGAAATAATTTCGATAGATGTGGCAGAAGAGAAACAATGTTAATGATTTGCGATAATGTGCTTTGGCAGCATCATCCTTCCATTCCGTGGCATTTGATAATAACTTCGATTTAAAGTAGCAAACATTGGAAAGAGCTTTTAGGCCGAAACGGATTCATCTTGTCATTCGGAAAACCCGTCAGCAATATATCATCTCTCTGACAATCTTGCGTATACCTGCAACTTCAACGAATTAATAAAACGAATGTTTTGCCGTTGGAATAAGTGACACCGTTCCCTATTCATTATAGAATTTTTCCAAAGAGAAAGATTTTTTCCTCAGTTCCACTTCCAAATATTCATCCGAAAGAGGACACAGCAAGCTTAACTGTCTAATTCTGGATTGGAATAAGCTCATTCAACTGAAGCTAACAGTATGCTCGAGGATTATGCCTAGATTCAGCTAAACAATAATTCATTTGAACAAGGATAACAAGTTAATCTCCATATGCATTTCAACGACGACAGCTTTTAAATTAATTGCAAACATCAAAATGAAAATTTCGAAAAAAACATGACACTTGAAATCATTAGTATCCTTTATTCTGAGGAACACAACACGTATAAAAAACGAAAAACTGAATTCTCATCTTTTCCACTTCCTATTTTATACGTATATTTCCAGATATCCCTTCTAAATCAACTGTAAATGGAAACTTCCTTATATCAAAAGTAGTCCCATCATAATGGTTTTTGTTTAAGTCACAAAAAATCAGAACTGTAGTGACTGAAGCACTATGTAAAGTTCGAAAAATTGTAATCTTACCGCACTAAATCATTAGCCGTCTGAGAAATCGTTGTACGACGTAAATTACGTTCACGACGTAATTGTTCCACAACACTTCGCGCTTGTTGCACAGAATGAGCGTCTCTTGCACTCATCCTATTCGTATTTTATAATGAATCTTTGAGTACTGTAAAAAAAATTCAAACATAGTGAAATAGTGTAGTTTAATAGTATCTGTATCCATATAGGTTGAATATGAGCGATGTATCGCTAGGAATCTTAGTGCAGAAAACCCAAGTTCCGTATGTAGCAATCACAAATTTCGATCTTAAATTAAAAAAGTAATTCACCTAGAATGCAAACAAACAACATAACACGCAAAAATTTAGCACCCAACACGCAATTACTCACCACTCCACCTGGCCAACATGACAAACCATCATGATTTAACAGTTTAACGCGGTTGCTGTTATATCCTGACGCACGCCTTGGTTTTTTCTTTTTCTTCTTTTTTTGAAAGGATGAAGGGTTATCTGAGCAAAACTATTGTAGAAATGTAAACCATTCGGTTCTAGGAAACGTGAAGACCGTATATTTCAGAAAAGTAGCAAATATGGAAATCGATTTCCCACGTGAAGACTTGTCTGTAAGTAGAAAACGTCGTGGAATATATTCTGGTGATAATGAAACAACGAACGTAAAGGTAAATTTTTGGTTAAAGTTGAAAATGATTCCACGTAGGGAATAAGTAACGTAACATTCGACTCATGCTATATTTTCGCACCATGTTGGAAACAGTATTAACTGTGATAACAGTGATACCATCATTCATTATTGCAATTAACATTTGTCTTCATCACATCTATTCGCACTTTATCATCAATTTATGAGTAAATACAAAAAGATTTAAACACATTGAAATGGTATAGTTTAGTGTAGCAATGTTAATAATTAACAAGACTAATAATGGCAGTGATAATGGAAGTCTTCAATAGCAAAAACTATGCTTATAATTGTACTGGCAGTGGTAGTGGTTACTACAGTGGTAGTGATAAATATTGAATAATAATAATAATTACGGTAAAGATTAGAAGATGATGGTCATAACAGTGAGTGATGGTCATAACAGTGAGTGACAGTGGTGGTTACTGGTAATAAATGTGATAACAGTAGTAGTTATAACGATGATGATACATTAATAGTGTTGCGAAATAAATAACATAGTATTCCCAATATTATTCATTTTATTTTGAAAAATGCACTGTAAAGAACTGACTGATAGTATGCACATAGATAGAGTAGTGAAAATCACCAAAATTATTGGCATTTTCAGCAACAATCAATTAAAAATGAGCCAAAGTCTGAATATGATGGTGTATGGAATCAGCGTATAACTCCGAACTTTCTCACTGAGGGAATGCTCGGATTGGGTGTTGTTATGAAAGTAAGCTTTTGAGATAAATTGATACCTTCTTGTTTCACATAACTCGATGTGAAAGCTTAAAATAATTGGGTCCAGAAGTTTTTTGTTGAATTCTTCCATGAATGCTTCTGTTTAGATTAAAGAAGCAGAAATACTGCTGGAATGTTTGGATGGTGTAGTCGTTAAAGTACCTGTTCAAAATTTTGGCAACTTAATGCTGGGAACACTTAGAAGTTCATCTCTTACATTGGAAGATGTCTTCAAAGTTGGTCAAATGCTAGCATTTAAAGTCATAAAAGGCAGAGAAATTCATGGTATTTTCATAATTTCCAACTTTCCTTTTTTAAATTTAGTTTCCAGAAAGTCCGATCTGAACAATTTGTCGCAGTGTAATGCAAAATGAAAGTGTATGGTCCTTTACTGGCTGTTTAGAGTTAGACGTGCGATTCTTTACGGTTTATAAAGTGGCTAGATTAAAAAAATATTTTGGCAAAGATACTTTGTGTTTAGTATATAACTTGCACTGGATGACCATATTCGCCTGCATATTTAAAGGCAAATCAATTTTAAAATTTGAAGATTATTCTATGTTGAACTTCGTGACCTAGCATTATTGAAGATATGGATAAGTCAGCAATTAAATCCAACGAACTGCTGTAACAATCAAGTACTCGATTGATTGGGAAGAAATGATGCAATTGCACATAGAAATGAATTGAAATAAACAGGAAAATGGGAGTGTAATTTTCATTTGTTCGTTTTTCAGAGACTCAAAAGAAAAAAAAAAAGCTTCATATCCTGTTGTCAGTTGTGATCCATTGATTGTAAATGTTCATCTCAATCCTGGTGCTCTAATCAATGGTCTTGTGCTTAATGGTGTTGTGGAAAGTGTGGAAGATAAAGGTACAGTTTCCGGAAGCTCGTTACTTTTTACCTGAGGTTTAGTTTTCCGTTTTATTCACTTTTTTTTTTCACTTTCTCAACAGCATTAAGGAGAAATGACTGTTACAGGTGTTATTATTAATCTTGGATTGCAGTCAGTTGAATTAAAAGGATTTCTAGCAGAAAAACATTTACCGCCTACTTTTCAAAAGGAAAGCTTAATAGAAGGACAACCGCTTTTATTGCGAATACAGAATGAAAATTCATCAAATAAAGTAAGACCAATTTTCCAGTTTTAGATAATGGTATATTGAAAATATAAACCATTCTTTATTCAAAATATAAACCATTTTTTTTTCCTGGTTGATGACTTAAATTCCATCTGTACATTAATTTTAACAATAATTCTTTTATTTTAAAAGTGTTCCCGAAATTTGCATAAATCAAATTATTTTTATTGTAGAAGTCACGAGTCGTCAGTCTGTCGGCGGTTCCTGAAATGGAATGTTTGGATGATATCGCCGTTAAGAACCTTAAACTTAACGATTTAATGCCAGGAACTTTACTTCTAGTAAATCCTTTGCAACCAACTGCTAGTGGTGTTTATGTCAACATTGGGAATGGTAAATTTTATAGATTTAGATGACTTTTTAGAATTTGTTTTTACCAAATTTTGGTTGTCAGTAATATCACCAATGCTCAAAATTAAAATTGAGTTTGAAATTGCTATAATTTAGTTCTAATCAGAAAAAAACATAGTAAAAGAACCTGTCCTGTTTGCGGGATATAATTTAGTTTTATTCAGAATAGAAATACCTTAGAGTAATAACGGTGATTCTTATTTTAAAAGATGAAGTTCTCTCTTTTTGTTTGCTGGTGATTCCATTCTTAAGTATTTCAGACATAAAAGGATATGTAAACAGGCAACACTTGCCACCGCGATATCGCAACGACTCATTCAAGTGTTTGAAGTCCTTTAAAACAATTGTGATGTTTTGTCAACAAAATAGCAATTTATTAGCATTAAATGGACATCCAGATATTATTGCTGCTAGTAAGTTCGCAAAACGAACTAATTTTGAGGTATTTTGCCTTTCCTTTATTACTAATAACCAATCGGTAATAACTAACAGTTGGCGTGACAGGCTTTTTTCGATGGAGCCATATATGACCATATCCGGCGAAAAATCCGGCATCAATTTTACTTGATTTTTCACTACTATGAGCAATCACTGTCGTTGCTTTTTTATTTCACATTACGGTTGCTCGTTCCTCGTGAATTATATATGCTTGGTCTTTTAACGATTTAAGTGGTTTTTCACTCGTTTCACTTTAATTTCGAAAAACTAGAAGAATTTTTAACAGGTTTATTTTAATTGGTATGATAACGTAATGCTTCTTACAAATCCTTTTCTTTTTTTCCTGTTTTTGATTTTCAGAATGTCCATACTGGTGATATTATTGAGTGTAAGGTAAGCAATGTGAATAAGAATGGTGATGTCAATTTCGATTTGGTACTACATGGAGATGAAAGAAATTCGCTGGTTGCAGCATTTGCGAGGAAAACTGAACTGGAAGGTTTGCATGCATCATTATCTTTCCATTGTCTGAACTTCTCTTAATTTTTGAACTTGCGTGCAATAATTGAAAGCAACCCGTTTAATTCTTTATGAGGTAATTGTTTTAGTAATTTTAATATGGAACTAGCTTCAGATTTTAATTTTGAACCAATGAAGATGATGTGTTAATGTCTAGCGTTAAGTTGCAGAATTATTTTGCTTAGTTAAACATTCATTATGCTTTTCTTTCATTTGCATAAATGTAATTTAGTATGACACAAAATCCGTCTTTCAGTGGGATTTACAATGTTAATTTTTCCAGTGGTGCAGAGTTAGTAGTAATCAAATCTTCCCATTAATATTTCAGATCATGTTGAATACAAGAAGGGAACAATACATCAAACACGTGTGCTATCATTTAAAATGGTTGAGAGAATATTAATAGTTGCGACACGGAAAGATATTCTAGCACAAAAAATGGTCTGCGTAAAGGTAAGGCTTCTTTTCAAATAGGTAATTTTGGTTCTGCTTACAGCATTATTATTTTTCTAAGGATGGGCGTACGTTGACTTCCATAAAATTCGGGTTAACAGTTTTTCTTTACTTATTGATTTGGTCGTTTTTTCTTATGACATTTTCAAATTATGGCTTCAGTGGATTTCACACTTTGCAGCTTCGTGGTGGAAGTGTTGGGTGATTTTTTTTTTTTGATCAATTTGTTCCACCTTTTCATTGCAGGATGCTGTTCCTGGTATGAAAGTCATCGCAAAGGTGGAATCTGTGCTACCTAAGGGATTGTTCGTAAAAATATATAATTCGATCCCTGGATTTATACCTAAAATCCATCTTTCCGACAAATTGATCACACGAATCGACAAACATTTCGCCGTTGGTAAATTTTCTTTCCAACTTCATTAGGTTTTTTTTTATAAATTGGGTTATTTTGTCCCGTGATTATTATCAAAGTTATCAGTCATCCACTCTTCAACCCGGCAATAGTGTTGTCGGGAAAGTCTTCTTTATTTAACACGGCGGTAGATCACTTAATGTTGGCAAAACGAAGCGTGAAGTTGTATAAACCTTGTTTCGCTAATATAAATCTTTTTTTCATTTGTTTCGTAATATTTGATGATTATTACTCTTGCGGAAAGTGAAATTAAATATGTGGTTCAGGTTTCTAGAAGTGATGCTATTTCCTAAAATTGTTACTCTTCCAATGTTTTCTATGCACAGACATTTCTTATACCTTTAGGTGACGAGCTAACCTGTCGCATCTTGACTGTGAATGAAGCGAAAGAACGACTTATTCTGACAAATAAGCAGTCTCTTACAACAAATAAAGACACAGTCATCAAGAGTTATGCTGAGGTTACAACTAATGCGATAACCACTGGTTACATTGTTTCTCAGCACCCAAGTGGTGGACTCATTATAGGTTTTTATGGTGGAACTCGCGGATTTATGTTTCCGAAAGAGACAGAGCGATTGGGAACCAATATAAAGTATGTTTGACTTTTTCTTTTTTTTCATGTTTTGTCACTCTGTACTTTTATATCAAGCTCTGAAAACATCGATATTTTTTCATTTTAGTTTCAATCTATTATGAAAGGAGATCCATAAAATTAAATTGAATATTGACTTCTTTCTCTTAAAGAGTTGGTCTCACAGTCCGAGTTCGAGTGGTTAGTGTTGATCCACAACGTGGACGTATGTTAGTTGCAGTAGCGAATGCGGCCAACGATGGAACTGAAATAGCAAAGGCTCAGGTTTGATTTTAATCCCGATTATCGATGGATAAGAATGAGTTATGTTCGTATTGTTAAATGGAGCTTCGTAGGATAAAGCTGAATAATTAGTGATGAGCGATGTGTAAGATAAATTGTCTTTATTACGGTTGAATGAAGATAACATTCCTGGTGAAGGGTTTCGATTTCCTGCTTTCTGGTTACTTAAATTTTAGAACCAGGTTATTGATTATAAAGCAACTCCGCACTTCTGACAAAAAAAGTAGATGCAAATAAATTTAGTGTCATGAATTTTCCCGAAAGAATTTGTAATTTTCTTTGTGCATTTCTAACTTCAGCCATTTCTAATCGATGGAGGAAATTCTGTCTCTTTTTCGGCAGTTGTTATGAATATTTTGTCGAATGATAATAAGTCAAAACCAAATGAGATTTTGAACGTTACCGTTCGGCTAGGGAAGAAATTGGTTCGTTCAACTTCAACTCATTTTAATTATTCATTAGCAGTTATTCTCGTCCATTGTCTGTTGTTGGATTCATTAATATATTACTTGGTTTGCACACATTGTTAATGCTGCGGATGATCTAGTTTTAATGTATTTTTCACTTGTCCATATAAGAGAGGAGTAGGGAATATCACGTTGATTGATTGCAATGAAGTTTGTTTATAGAAATCAATCTCAATTCAGGGTGGAAAAGTGAAAGCATTTATTCCGAAAGAACTGTTGAGTGATTGTCTTGATTTACCGTTTGCGTCACTAAGCGAAAGCATTGCACTTGGAAGTGTGCTACCAAAAGTTACGGTACTGGGTGATGTTGCCGGAAATCTTAAGGTTGGTTTAGTTTTCAGATCAAAATTTATTTGGCTTTCCGAAATTTAATTGTTAGGACTATTCATTTAATATCTATACTTGATTCAGGGGCTCATAGAAAGCAAATGACTGTACACTTTAGTAAGTTATATAATGGCGATTAGACTATTGATGTTTTAGTTCTTATCGTGTACATGTCTCAAAATGAATGAGTTGGATTGAAATAACCTATATTTTAGGTGACGAGTAAACGTTTCATGATCGATTGGTTAGAAAAACATCCACGCATCACTGGCCTTCAAAACCTTACGAAAGGAGAACTTGTTTGTGGTAATATCATCCGGAAGCACAAGGAAATGGGATATTTTGTTGAATTGGCGGGTGGCTCAGCTCTTACAGCCCCAGCACGCTTTATACGTCCAATGGCACTGCCAGTATCAATGCGTAAGTTGCTGATTAGATCAAAAAGGTTTTTTAAAAATTTTCTGAATTCATGATTATCTTTGATTTATATGTTATATCTGACATTTCAACTAATTCTTCAGAAGAGCTTCAAATAGGGCAGACTGTTGTGGCACGAGTATCATCAGTCGACTTGGAAAGGAAGCGATTTGCTTTAATTTTGGATGTAAGCTCATTGTGACGTTATTACTTTTGCTGTTATAATCCAATGTTCCCTTATTACAGTTTTTCTTTGCTTTACTGTGAATTCATTTTTTAACAATTGACAGAATTTCTAACGGCATGTTTTTCAGGCACATCTCTGCATACCTCCTGGTGCTGAACTTGATTATTTTGCACCATCTATAGTACATTATTCTTTGGAGGAATTGAACTGGTTTATAGCAAATAATCCAAACTATTCGCAAGTACCGGAAATCGGCGAATGTATCGATATAAAGGTCGTAGAGATTTCAGAATGCAGTGTTGTTGTGCAGTATGCTAGCAATCCTGATTTGAAGGGATGCGCGATAAATAACACTAATATTCTGCAGGTTTCCTTTCAGAATATGGAATAATACAGTATAAAAGTGGTTTTTAATTAATAATTTCGTCAGAAAATCGGGTGCAGGGAGTATTGAAAGAGTTATTTTTGTCTTTTTTTTGGGAACTCTTTTTTCGAAAGGGATAAATTTGTACGATTACAGACGGACTTTGGATTTGAATCGAAACTATTCTCTCAAAAGCTCTGGTTGATTTTTCCTTTTTCTTAAATTTTAGAAAGGAAGTTGTGCGAAGGCATTGGTTTTGGATGTCAAATTGCCAACCTGTGAATTGGTTCTATTCCTTCTGGATGGTGGTGTTCAGCATTTGAATGAGGTACGGAACAGAAGTTGTAGTTGTGAACTATCGTGGAAACAGTTCTTTATTCATCTTCCCGCCAATAAATTAAATAAAATATTCGTTTATTCGTGACAGAATATTCGTGATATCAACCTTCTAGCGCAATTTAATTAACTTGTTGGCTAAGTTATGTTTGTAAATTGCTTGAAAACTGTTCCACTTTTTTCTAGGAAGAGCTCATGTATTTTTAGTTCATCTGTAAATTGGATAATATTTTTGGTCCAAAATTTGGTCTTGTTGCAGTTGAGACTTCTATTTCTCAACATTAGTCGTTGATTTTTCGGTGAAATTTTGCAGAAGAAACTACAATCACTATTATGCAGTAAAAAGGAATTCGATGCGAAAATATGGTTACACAAAAGAGAATATGCAGTTGCGACAGTAGAAACTGAAAAGTCGGCTTTTGTAGTTTCCATCCCAATGAGATTACATCCGAATGTGAATATTACTTCTGTAGATTTAGGTAAGCTATAACTTTTCGTATTAATAAAAAGTTATACTAAGTTAATTTAATTTTTCCAGATTTTTTTTTGAGCATTTATTGTCATTAAGTCTGTGCTGTAAAAAAAAAATGCGATCATCGATACTACCTCTATTTAACTTACACGCTATAGTGTAATTAGGAATATAAATAGTGGATATCACGTGTATCAACATAAAAAATAATCATTTTATTCCACCTATTTCACATTCAGCTCGACTTGTCAACGGAGAAAACCATTAAATGCAATCCAAATTGAGATAGAGGGAGGTGACAGGTTAAAAAAAAATGATTATTACTACTGCTTATTTTGATTGTGATGAAATCGAAAGTGAGAGATTAAAGATGATTGTAGTATTGTGGCATTGATAAGAATGATTGTAGATGAAAATAGCAATCAATGCATAATCACACCCAAACTGATATCTGGAAATGTCATGATTGGAACTGCAATGGAAATATTGAAGAAATACGGACTAATTCATAGAAAATTTAAAGTATTATTATTTTATTAATGACTCCTATCAAGACTTAAAGAGTGTAGTTTCGCGTACATTAGTAAACTATACTGTATTAAACACAGCGTAGTTTATTGACGTTAAACATTGTGAGACTTACACTTAGATATCATTTCTTAAATGATTGCTTAGTTGCTGATTAAGTACCACTTTGAAGATTTCCTGAGTAGTGAAGTTTTCTTACTAAATTGCTTTTTTTTTCGACAGACTTTTTTGTTTACATATTTGGATCCTGTGTTATAGACACCCATCAAGTCAGCAGTGAAGAAGAAATTGAAGCAGTTCAAAATTTACACTGCAAAAGTTATGGGAATGTGGTCCAAAGGTGATTTGTACAACGCTATTGAGTTAGAGTTGCCCGATGGCAGTATTGGTAAGAATTTCCTTCATTTCTTTGCTGTTACCGAAATGGTTGCGATGTCAGCAAGTGTGTATCAGAGATGATAATTCCAAGCCATTACATTATTCAACTGCTTTTCCTAGTCTTCCTATGACACCATAGGATTTGTCTTTGCCCAAAGACAAGTCTGTAGATTTCTATAACATATCTGGTCTTGATAAAATGTTATTTATGCATCATAAATTTATATTTTAGGACGTTTACATGCATCGGAATTTGATGAAAGCTTTTTGGATCAAACTTCACAGCCAATTCAAAGCTTTTTGAAAAAAAGGAAAGGTAAAACAGTCAACGTTAAAATTATGTGTTTCACGAAGCTAAAGCAAAAAATGGAGAAGTTAGATCTTTCTAAACCAAGAGGAAAGGGAACACAAAAAGGCGAAAAAATGGTTGTTGTAAGTTCTTTTTTCTTAACCCTGTTTTTGCTGATTTATGTTTGATTTAATTTTTTTTATGATATCAACAATAAGACAACTAAATCATGTTTACCATGGTAAACTCCAAGTTTTAAAAGTCGTTCGAAAAAATAAACAATGTACGACAACTCTGATTGAATTTTATATCGCTTTTGAATCAATGGAATGTTTAAATTAGCTTGCTAACTATTCTTCAAAATCAGGCAGTAAGTGAAAAATATTCGAGTGTACCAAAAATTTATAGAATTCATCACATAAGATTGGAGTAAAGCAAATTCCTGTCAAAATACATGTATTGTATGACTTATTTTCTGCTGATTTTGTAATTCATATTTCAAATCAACAGGAAATATATTCAAATCAACATATATATATTTTAGGTGACACGTTTGGCAGAATGTACGATGAAAACATGGAAATTAAGTGAAACAAAGAGAAAGCAGTCTCTTCTAGGATACCCACAAAGTTATGTGCACGGATCATTTATTCCTGTTTTTGTATGTAATGGACCTCATGTTGGAGTGGTCAGAGTGGAAGTTAGTCCACTATGGAATGGTGTCATCAGGAAGCAAAATCTGTACGATGAAAATCTGGTATGTTCACACTATTCACGTTATTGGATGTGAAACGCAATCCAACGTATCAAAAATAGCAATGTAGTAGTTTTTTTTTCTTTTTTCACTTAAATTTGTTAATATACCTATGATTCAGTTGGCCAACCCGACCAATAATGATGCATCAGCATTAGTTGACATCGATTTTGAACCTGGCGAAAAGTTAATTGCACAAGTTATCGGAGTGAATGTTTACAAGAATAGACGTGGCAAGTTGAGACATCGAAAATGTTTGGAAATGACCTTAAAAAAAAACACGAAAGGTTATTTCTTTGAGCCTGTTGGGTTTTTTTAAATAAGAACTTACAGACAAATTATGATATCCTGGCGACTTCTTTGGAGGAACAAAGACATGAGAGGTCGAATTTTCTTTGACTATAACTTAAAATTTTTCGAAATATAAGTGAGGGGTTTTCAGAATTCATAGCATTTTTGAGAAAATTTCGTAGAGAATCGCAGTTTGCAGACATTCGAACATGGTGATCGTGTGACGGGAAGAGTTGTTGGTATTACACAGTCACCAAGTAGTGTTATACTGGAACTTACCAATAATCAACGGGCTGTTCTTACATTGACTGGTATTACTGATAATTATCTGAATGCACATGAAGCTGTAAAGAGTTACGAGTTAAATCAGGTATTGCAGTTATTCCTTTTTTGTTATATATATATACATATATATATATATATATATATATATATATATATATATATATATATATATATATATATATATATATATATATATATATATATATATA